TGCTATACGTAATACTCTCCTTACCCACACATTCCCCTAAGTAATTTTACCAAATTCGAGCTGGAAGCAGGCCTACTGCCTTCTGTTGGATTAATTAGGTTTGTTCGGCCAGGTTCATCTCATGACGTCAGCGTTGTGAGTCGGAGTAACAAATTTACACTAACATATAACTACAGATGGGCAAAGCACCGGGTTTAAACCCGGTGCTTTGGTAAAAACCCAATAAACACCCATAAACTCCCATAATCACCCAAAAAAATAGGTTTTTACGTATTTTTTTGAAAATATGTAAGTAATACCAATAAATTATTTTTATAAATTGTATTGATCAATTCTACAATATTAAATAAAACGTTAACTAATAATATTTCAGGAAATTTTAAAAATCTATATATAATAAAATGAAAGTAATTAATTTTCAGTGTTTTCATGTTGCAGTTGATCAACATGTTGGCCTTTTGCTTCCCGTAGATACTTTAAAATTTCTTCATAACACCTCGTTCGCACACATGGCCGTATATATTTAAATTCTTGAGCCACTAACAGTCCGAAATACTCATTTCTTTTATCCTCTTCTCCATAAATTAAGCATTTAGAACAGTTTGTTTCTTCTTTCAGTAAATTTTCTTTTACTTTATCCTCGTTTTTTTTCTTTGTTGCGACGACGCTGGGTAAATCATCTGGACACTGGGTCTCACTATCGCCAAATATATTTGGAGATCGGCTTCGGCTACGGCTTGGCAGACATTTTTTTCTTTCTACAATTTTAAATTAAATTTATTAGAATAAATGCTTCGAACACACGCGATCTAAGTACCTTTTGTGTTTATTATACCTTACCTACCTAGGTATAAAAAGAGTACTTACGTAGATTTTCTTTTATTAACTGTTTTATACGAAGATCTTGATCTCTCAAATTAGCATCCATTTTACTTCCAGTGATTATCAACTAAATTAATAATCCACAAAGTATTAAATAACGTTTTTATGAAATATTTAGCACAAAAACAATACCCTTTAAATATCGATCGTCAGTAACTGTGGCTGACTTACCTATATTCTAGCAAGCAGGACTGCCAGATGTGAAGGGGAAATCCCCAATAAATTGTTGCATGTGACTGATGATGTGAGCATGTTCGTTTCATAATAAAAATGTTGCCAGGTAACCAAAAAGTCGTATGTTTTTGTGCGAATTACGATCATAATCTTTACGATCGTACATTAAAAAATAGACAAATAATAGTATGAGTACGATTTAAATCGTATATCTGTCAACCCTGCTAGCAAGACAGCGACAAAATCACGTTGCATAACAATGTAGCCCAAGCTTATATCTTATGAAATATACGGAAGAGATACGGACTTAGAAAAAACAGAAATGTTGTTCTTTGTGGAAGTCATTGATGAAATTCTATGTATTTTAGCCCGCAAACTTTCTTCAAACAAAAACAGCGCCATCTAGTATCGAGTTCTGTAATTATCTCTTTGTTTATGGATTTGAAGTAAGACCGCCACGCATGCAATACATTATGACTGGGGATTCCCCTATTCGTCGACGCTGAATATGAGGCGACGACAATCACTGTCAAACGTGTTCACTATTACTCTGACTCTGGTAACGTGACTTCCTGGTAACGTGTTAGGTAGGAAAAGCAGTAAAAAAGTGCATATTAAGGGAGCAGATTTGAAATAATATTTATACTTAACAAGAAATAATTAAAGGTAAGTGGATTTTTGAATGATACAATTATATCATGATCACTTAACAATTTTAACTTAAAATTAGATGTATTATTACAAGCTTTTATTTAGCTTGCGTTATGTAAATAAAAGTATGTAGGTATGTTCGTATGTTGATGCAATTATCCTCAATCCTCAACCGACTGGGATAAAATTTTCCATACACGTTTATTTTGGATGATAGTGCATAGTTAGCTGAGAGTCGTCATTGGATAATAATGGTGGATAGCCTAAGATGTGTACTAGATATTTATTTTTAACATAATATGCGTAAGTACCTAATCGAATTAAAGAAGTTGCTGAGAAAAATACAGAACAATACGATAATAAACTAGCGTCTGCGTTTAATCCTCCGAGGAGATGTAATTTTACAAAGGTTTTTTGTATTTATTTTATTATTTTTTTAATAAATTTATTGTAAATAACAAGAAATAATCATTGTAAAAAAATAGGCACTCTATTGTTGAATTTTCGTCAGACCAACTAATCATCGTTCATTTTTTTAGGTTCAATGGGGAGACCTAAAGATTTACGCATATGGGAGCACTACCGTACTTTACCAAACAAGTCTGTTTCTTGCAAGCTTTGTAATAAGGTTTACAAATTCAGTAATGCTGCCAAAATGCTTCAACATCTTATCACTTGTCCAAAATCTCCAGAAACATTAAAAGACTCTATGAAACTTATAAAAGATAGCTCGTCCAAAACCAAAATGTCTGGACTGTCAGAGATAGAGACAAATGATTCTTTTATAAGCCCCTCGTCGTCTGCTAACACTACAATAAATGCTGAGTTTCAAGACACCGATGATCATATAAAAACAGAATTAGCGAGAGCTATATTTGTAACAGGGACGCCATTATCGATGGTGCAACATCCTTTATGGATACAATTTTTCGAAAAATTGCAACCAAAATTTAAAATACCTTCACGTAAAGCTTTAGCGACAAAATACTTAGATAAAATATATAGAGAAATGCGTTTTGAGTTAAATGAGGAACTAAATGCTTGTAGTTACTTACACCTTCAGTGCGATGGCTGGTCTAATTTAAGAAATGAAGGAATAATAAACTTTCTTATATCAAAACCTCAACCTGCATACGTTAAAAGTTTGAATACAGAAAGTAATCCTCACACTAGTGAATACCTTAGCCAAGAAGTTGAAAAAGTAATGAAAGTGTATGGAGCAAATAAGTTTCTTGTACTTATTGGCGATAACGCTAGAAATATACAAAAGGCATTCGAATTAACAAAACTCAAATATCCACATGTTGTTCCTCTCGGTTGCTGTGCACATATCCTTAACTTGTTGTGCCAAGATATTGTAAAGATACAAGAAGTAACTGTGTTTATTATGCAAGCCATAAATATAATAAAAACTGTTAAAAGGAGTCAACGATTAAGTTCCTTGTTGATAAAATCAAGGCAGGGTGAAGATTCTACACAAACACTAAAATTGCCTTGTGCTACAAGATGGGGAAGTCATGTTACTTCGTTAAAAAGTTTGAAAGCAAATAAGATAGCTTTGCAAATATTAACAGTTAGAGAAGATGTGGTAATTTCAAGAGATATTAAAGATTTAATTCTAAGTGATGATTTCTGGACGAAGACAGGGGAATGTATAAGTATTTTGGAACCAGTCACTGAAAGCATATTTTACTTAGAGAGCGACCAGAATCGTTTGCATCGCACATACATTACATTTAGAGATGTACAAGCTAAGATACGTTTTGCATTAAATGAGATTTCGACATTGAGCGAAGAAAGCAAACAGCAGATTCTAACATCAGTATCTTCAAGATGCAATATGGCAATGAGGCCAATACATTTTGCAGCATATATTCTAGACCCCAGGACTCTAGGAGTCGAACTTACTCAAGAGGAAGAACTTAAGGGTATGGAGTTTATCTACAATTTAAGCCAACACTTAAGTTTGTCAAATGTAATGGCAGATTTGGCGTGTTATAAAGCTAAAGAAAACTTTTGGGCCAGAGGATTTGTATGGAGCTCATTAGATAGCATTGAGCCCCTAATATGGTGGAAAGGTATTTGTGGTTCCACTGAGTTAAGCAAAGTAGCGATTCGTATTCTATCAGCTCCCTGTACTTCGGCAGCCACTGAGCGTTCCTTTAGTATCCAAGGCTACATACATAATAACAAAAGAAATCGACTTACAACTGAAAGAACTGAAAAAATTTCATTCATTTGTTATAACTGGAATCTTAAACATAAAGCTGAATGCGAGGACATTCAGTTTAATGAAGAAAATACCTTAGAAGCTTTCATTGAGCAAGTAAATGAACATAACAGTTTAGACGAAATAGAGCCTATCGAACCTATACAATTCATCGCTTGTAATAACTCTGAATCTGACAGTGATTGACTGTAGTTTTACATTTTACTTTCATCTCTTTCTTAATAAACTCAAAATCAAATTAAAAGTTTTTTATTCTGTAGGCTGCATAATAATATTGTCTATGTCCAGTATAGTGGACGTCTTGCGGCTGAGATGACGATGATGAAGTACAAAATCATAAACACCCAAAAATTTGGGTGTTTATGGGGTTTAAACCCAATAAACCCAAAACACCCGGTTTTTACCCACCAGACTTTAAACCCACCCAGGTGGATTGCCCATCTCTACATATAACACCAATAACATTCTTGTAAAAACTTTTTATAAAACCTTTATTGTGCATAATTTATATTAGATGCATTAAAAAATTTAATATACAATGGCGGAGTTATCCCATAAAGGGATTTCTTACAGTTAACTTTTGAGAAGTCGAAAGAACTCTTTTTAGGGTTCCGTATCAAAAAGGTACAAAAACTATATTGCGACTATAGTGCGACTTTGTCCATCCGTCCATCAGTCCGTCCGCGTTATATCTCAGCAGCTATCAATTTGATGTTTATTTCGCATGAAAAAGCAATAACGTTCGACGTATAAGTTCAACTCGCATTTGAGCAATTTTTTTAATTATATCGCGGTAATAACGATGAAAAAAAAATCTAATCAAAAGATAATGTAGCTTTTTATTAGCGAATAAAATTTTTGGATTCGATTAAATAATTCAAGAGATATCTTATATGTTTTCTCTGCATCTTTACCTCATGATTTCAGTAACTTATACGAAGTACTTATGGCTAAAATGTTATAACCCATCTCATTCATACATCAATAAATTTACAGTATCTATAGACTATGTCTATTTTTATCAAGTATTGTAATTATTCAGATTCAATTTCAATTGTTTCAGAATTCGTGATGTCTGAAGGCGCCGGTGCAGCGAGCTCGTTTCCAGCACGTTCCCCTATGTCTAGTTCCACTACGGGACATTCGAGCTCTAGTCATCACAGGTACCGTTACAACTAAAATATTTTACTAAAGTAAAGCACATTTAAATAATTATTCAAACTCATTCTGCTCAATAAAACATACAAACATTATAAAAATTTAATGAAATAAATATGTACAAAATTTAATAATAGTTTATTAACAATTTGGATTATTAATATCATAATCTTTATTAAAGATTTTAGTACTTTATTCATAGTTCTAATTTACCATATAATTAACGACCCGCAGCTTTTTATAGATGATTGATTTTTTTTTTTAATTAGTTAAGTGGTTTTTAATGTTATGCATTCAACATCGAACTAAATGATAGAGGGATAGTTTCTACCATTACTATCAATTGAGCCTCTAATTGTGTTGCCATAAGTAATAGTCCACCTTCTTTACATAGTTGATATTTCGTTTGTTCGTTCGAGACTCCTCACGTTTTCATTTCTCTAGCGTACGACAATGGAATGAAATTCTCTCCTTGTGTGTTTTTCCAGAGTCATTTATAGACTTCTTCAAGGCAAAAGTGAATAAGTAGCTCATAGGTTCGCAAGTTCTTTTATATTACCTCAATTCTGTGTTAATATAAAAAAACGAGTTGGATAATTAATGATAATCTGAAACTATTAAAATATGATAATTATAAAAATTTATGTTTGTAACCACAATGTAAGTATTAGAAAAAAAATCTTTTAAAGATCTCGCAAAATTTACTTAAATATGTAAAAATAGTTTTCTTAAAAGTCGAGTTCTAACGGAGGATAAAATTACGTATCCAATTTTCTTTATACGTGTTTGAAGTTAACAATAATAAATTATGAAATTAGTAAAATAAACACTAATGTAAGTTTAAAATAAACAATAACGTATGTTTTTTATCCTTCTGGAACTCTATACAATTATTCATCAAATTTTTGAAATACTTATATTAATGTATTATATTTTATATCATACATGTTAAAATAATAAAGAGCCACGGTAGCCTATAAATGCCTTACAAAAGCAATACTCCAGCAGCTTTTAAGTAATAAAGTCACTAAACATGCATAAAAGCCCACAAATTTAATAAAGACATTTTTGCCATAAAAGAGTGCCCTATCGAGAGGCTGGCAAACCTTTATTAATGCACTTATATTCTGAAATTTCCTTTGAGCACTCCAAACCCTCCGAAATTAATCTTAGCTCTCATCAAAAAGAACGGAAATGCTCTGCATACCGGCCAAGTATTGAATGGAGCGGGAGTCGGGATGAGACAAATTCTGACGTGTCAAATTCAATAAAGTTCACTAGTGTGGCCTCTAATTAAATATAATAGGTCGCGCCCTTACACTCTTTGTGAAGAGATTCTCGAACTTAATAAAAAATTGATGGACCCTCCGGTCGGCCGGCGCGCCACTCGTGCCTCTAAAAGTGCCTGTGACGGTCCACATTAATTTAAACTTATCCGCGAGAAAATACTTTAAACTTCAGAATCGAGAATGTACTTTAATTTACATTTTTAATCTTAGTTCCGTTTACTTTGTTTTATTTAGCCACAAGTATAAGGAATTAGAGACTCTCTAACTTTAATGGTGATTTAAAACTTGAAAAGCCTTGTCTTAAAATGATATGCATAGCTAATTATTGTCCAGTGAAAAAGATGTTAATGTAACAAATAAGATACATAATTTGTCCTACTATTTAAAATGTAACAAAATAAATCATCGTATCAGCCGTTAACTGTCTACTGCTGAACATAGCTTTCCCCTTATTGGAGGTTTTGGCAGTAGTTGCCACGTTTGGCAAGTGGATTGGCAACCATAGTTAGGCTTTGGTAATGTTTAAAGAGAGACGCTGCGACTTTTCCTTCTTGGGGGTTTTGCCAGTAGTTGCCTCGCTTGGCAGGCGCATTGGCAACCATAGGGTTTCGCGATGTTTAAAAGGAGACACTGCTGCTCATCTATCGACTTTGAAATCTTTTAAATCACCTCAAAAAATGAATAATTAAATATTAATAAAGAAATTAAACAAATGCATTTTTATTTGCTTATTAAACCTTAGAAACGTATTGAATTTTATTTGTACATTTCTTAAACAAATAAATGTCATCTGTAGTTTTATCGAACAGCGTAGGTGCATTAACTACTATTCAGTTTTTCACAGTAATGTGTTTCCTAGTCACTGAACTCGAGGCAAGCTTTTTATATTTATTTTATTTTTTATATTGTTTCTGCACTCAGTGTAGTTAGTGTATTTAACTGCATATTTACTTCGAACTATTTTATAGAAATTAAAAGTAAACTTAATAATAATTTTCATACGTTATTGATTTTAGGTAGGTACGTATTTTTACTAAAAATATGTTGTCATTTTATATTTTCATGAATATTTCTAATTTGTATCTAATTTGTATTATATATTTTCTGTAAATAAAAAAAAACTAATCAGTGTATTTTTTTTTGATGGGTGAAAATGAATGGTAACCCCGCCTGCGCTAACGGGATACGCTGGCGGAGCACCAGTGAAGGGTGATAGATGAGAATGAAAACAGGCCAGTTAGCCCATCATGATGAATTCATCAGGAATTAATCATGATAGTTTCCAGGGAGAACCGCGAGGAGGTCGACCTGGTTGGGTATATTGCTAGTAATGGGATTCTCAGTCTCCATTACTAACAATCCTTTTCCTCCCCACTAATCAGTGTATTTAAAATTACTATTTGAAATTAGATGTGATGATTGATGTTTCCATTCAATAAAGTTTTATTTTTATGGTGCTATTTATAGTGCTAAGATGTAATAGGATTTCTTGATAGTTTTCTTAACTAACAATATTCTTAGCCAAGATATGAACTTAAAAAATGGTTATAACTATAAAAAAATATTACTGTAAACAAATATACTTTATTTGAGTGGATTACCGCAAAAAAAATTATTTCGATTAAATAAACAAAAATACGTAATTCTATAATAAGTTGCATTCTACGCACTTAATTCTAGAGCTAATGCTACTAAATAATTGAAGAGCGAAACATGTATGTTAATATAGTTCTAATTTCGACCAAACGACTTTATAATCATATAAAAATAATTTCCATATTTTAGTCTCTATGATATCGTTGCAATTTTACGTTATGAAAATCAGGCCTCTATTCTACATACGATAGATTAGCAACTTTTAAAATTATTATTCAAATTTTCATAAAAATAACAAACTCATGAATTATTTACACAATATCAGTTTATATTGTGAATACACAAAATACAAGCTAAATAATAGCTACTATGAATTATTTATAGTTGAATAAAATTATGTCTAAATAACAGAAACTGCTTCCGCTTAACTACACCTGTGCAGTGCGATTCTCCCCTGTGACGTCACAATTTTACGTAATTAACGTACGCCGTACGTAGTTAACCCGAGCCGACGTGTGGCTCAGTGCAGTACACTGCATCCGGCCTAAATATTAGGTGCAACTGAAATACGTTGCAGGTGTGGTCTTTCACGTACAATTAGCAAGGTATTTCTTAAGTAGGTAGATGGTTTAGATTAGATATTTCTCTTTGCCTTTTGTAACTAAAGTGTGTATAACTTATTTTGATTTTGTCAATAAGAACTATCTTCCAAACGGCACAAAATTATCATAGGACCAATATGAGGATAAAACCTTTCTATGAAGTATGGACGACAATATTATGTAACACACAATAATTAAAACTATCGCGTAAATAATACGATCTCCCACTTTTTGGCGATTGAAATGTCATTTATATCATATAGTTATGTAATAATCGGCATGCTCAAATATCGTTGAAAATACTATATAATATATACTCTATTATGATACTTGCTCATAACATAGTTCTTTATAGGTGAGAGAATTATTAAAATCGGTTGAGTAGTTTTTAAGTTTATGTACAATATACAATCAAATTTTTTCTCTTTATAATATTATTATAGATATAAAATAATTGTTACTCTTATACATATAAAGTGCAATAGCTTTTAGTCATTCTCCTAATATCTTTAAAGTAAGTAAAATAATAAAGTAGTAAAGTAAGATAGTAGCAAATAGAATACAAAAGAAATTTATCGTGAGCAGTGTATACTAACCATAGACCTGTACTTCCCCCAACAAGCCTTAGTCGGACATGGAAAATGCTTTACCTAGGTGAAATCTATTTATAGCGAAGTCTCTCCTACTTTTTTACGAAACCAGAAAACTATTCTCGTGTTTTAGTCTCTTCTAATTCTCACTAACAAATAGAATAAAATTTAAATATTGTTCAACAATACTATCGTGATTTATTTATTCAATTACGCTTATTTATTAATTTGAATGGGTTTATAAGTAAGTGCAATTGAAACATCCAAATATACCTGTTCACAAACTTTGACATTTATACCCAAAAATTTATAATTTATTTGTATAACACAATTTGTATTAGGGAATTAAAATCTATTCAATTATTAAACTGAACTGGTATTATTCTTTACTCACCGAAAGAAGTAAATTTTCTAACTTGTCTGAAAATAATATAGGTCTTTTTATGCATATTAATTTTATTTATTATATTGGTTATTTATGAATAGATTTTGGGTATAATTTTATACGATTTTCTCCTGCATTACTATTTTTATAATGAGGTTGATTTCCAGTTTGCTCGATATGCCCTTCTATGTTCATCGGTACATACAGCTGCATAACCATAGATACATCAAACATGATGTAGCCAAAATATTAACGAGTATTTCATATCGTGTCTTGCGGGCTCACCGTTAGGACATGTTACAGTGTAGGTCATTAATATATTATAGGGGGACTGCCCTACGACCCTGCCCGCACACAATTTTGCTTATTCACGATACAAGACCGCTATTTCCGAACACGTTAGCTTTTAAATTGAACCTAAATAATATATGAACTATTCGTAAAGAGTCGATTTGTTGAGTATACTTAGCGGTTATTTCCATATTCCATTCTTTTTTGCATCGCTTTTAGTTTTGAATGATGATAATAAATAATCTTTATCCC